GCGGCTCGGGCTACCGCCGTGTGCCTCCCGAGGGCAGGGGCCGCGCTGGCGGAGCGCTTTCCGCCGCCGTTTGTCTCCCGTCTCTTCCCGTTCGCGGGAGCAGCTGCTGCTGCGCAGCCCCTTCCCCGCCCGCCCGGTCGCTCCAGTGCCGTCGCCTCCTCCTCGCAGCCTCGCACGGCGCGGCCCGGTGAGCTGAGCGGGGCCGGGGCGGCGGGAGGCGCCGCAGCCGCCCGTGGGGCCGAGGTGGGCCCGGGCCGGGGGCGCGGGGGGCGCGGGGTGAGCGCGGCGGTGCGGACTCCCGCCCGCAGCCGGGGGAGCGGCCGGGCTGTCCGCCCCCGGGTGAGCCCGGCCCCCGCCTGAGAGGCAGCCCCGTGCCTTCCCTCCAGGGGTTAACTCGGCGGGGCCGCCGCCGGCCCTAAGCACCCGGCGCGCCCTGTCGGGCCTGGGCGGGCGCGGGGTGTCCGGGGGCAGCGGCAGTGACAGCCTGGTGTCCTGCGCTGTGCTGGGATAGCGGCACCCTGTTCCTGCTTGTTTCGGTCTTTACTTTGTGCAACAACTAGTGCTAGTATGTGTAAGAGCATGAAACAGGCAGCTCTGACCTTGGGATCTCTTGGAAAAACGAGATAACACTCCATCCGTGGTCTTCCAGTGACCCGCCAGGTCTGTTCCCTGTCAAAGCCATTTACACGCTCTATATCCCAGCTGTGCCTGGACGACCTGTTGACTTAGGCAGCATGCAGCAGGGGATTCAGCGAGTCAAGAAATTTGTTGCAAGCAACTTTTTTTTTTTTTTTTAACTTCGGTTTATTACATTGGTTAGTCTTGGTACAAAAGTACCATGCTGGCCACCCTCTGACATTAACTTCCATCATACGGAAGCTGATTACACAACGGTTGAACTGCTAGAAGAATTTGTAGAGGAGAAGGAGATGTCCAGAAGCAGATGGTGCATCTTTCTGCTTTTCTTTTTTGGCAGCCTGGAGACTGTCCTTTAACTTTTCTTTTCTGTCTCCCTATCTTAGTGCTATTTTATTGAGAATTATTGTTGAAGTAAGTTTTTTTTAAGCATTTCTTTAATCAGAAATACTTTGGAGATCAGAAAGTTGCAGGAAGTTTTTAAAGCATACCCTAATGTCTTCCATGGTTGTCTCTCTGTCTGGTAAAGTATCAGTTCCTCCTTTTCTGGGAACAGGAACTTGGGATATGGACTCTTGTTGGCTAGGACAGCTCATTTAGCTTTTCTCTGTCACCTTCCTACAAAGCTGACTCTCATCGAATTTTTTTAAGACTGTCAATAACTATTGCTGAAGTTTCAGTGTCCTAGTTTCTTACTACGGTGTAAATAGTATTGTAATTTTAATGGCTGCAATGCTCTGAAGGGGTCATAGGTGATTTTTGAAGAAAAGGCATTGATAACCACTTGTACTGCTACACTTATTTTCTCATTTTTATGTATTTGTGAATGAAGGGCAAGTTGAAATTCTAGACCGGATTTCAACAGAAATTTAGAGGATTGTGTTTCGTTCTTCACTGTGAACATATGAGAATTTTTAATAGGAGTCCTACTTCATGTTTTTTAGCAATCTTTTTGAAGACAGAATGTCCAAAATGTAATATATTATACAATTTGAACTTTATAAGAAATTTAGATGATTTAGATAATTTAAAGTGTTTAAAGTTTTAAAATGTTCTGCACAAAAGAAAAGGAGCAATTTTGTTCTCTGTATTCACAGCAAATAAGGGAAGTTAGAAGAAAATTCCATTTAAGTATTAGGGAAAAAGTTAATAAAAGATAAGAAGACAATGAAATAGTTTGGGAAGGCTGTAAAATCTTCATCAAAGGTCTCTAAGAGAAGATTAGACCAATGAGTTCCAAGAAAGGGAACTGAGACTGACTTGGAAAGGAAGTCTTAGGACTCTGCTATTAGTTTTACTGGGACTAAATAATAAAAAAGAGTTTGGAGGTCATCAGACAGTCACCATGGAAGAATATAGGCTTTTAAACACTCTGATACATCTGCATGCTACTTGGGAGGCAAGCATGAGCTCACACAAAGCAACTGGCCTGAAAGCAGTACAGCCACACGTGACCTAGTACTGAGATTAAAAGGCCCACTCAGGGCCTGACACTATTTTTGGAGTTCCAAGTGAAAAACTTTTTATGTAGACACTTTTTGCTGAAGGAGACCAAGACACTGTGGTTAAACTGCATTTAACTAACTAAAAAACCTTCAAAATTCCATGGTCATATGCATTCATTTGAGCTTACATGCAAAACAAAATAAAAGTGCATACTGATGCGATAAATGAGAAACATGATGTGTGTAGAAACTTCTGCAGTGTGTTCACATGCATCTGTAGAGTTTCTTCTCTCCTTTGTGAGGTCTGCAAAAGACAAGCAGATTTTTAATACGCCTACTTACTTTTTAAATACTCCTAGGCCAGTAGAACACTTTAGCCTGCTGTACCGTAATATTTTAAAAAGGATCCACTTGACTTGGATTTTTTCCATGTAGTTCACTATCAGCACTCTTGCTTACACAAACCACAACAAAATACAACCATGCTATGTGTGTCATTACACTTACACTATGCACTCATTTCTCTTACGTAAGTGTAATTTTAAATAAAAGGTATATGCTGAACTAAGAAGAACCTATCAAAGGGTATAACTAACTAAACAAAATAAATAATTAAAAGATGTTTTATTTTGGAGTAAAGCTTGGAAGATGTTATAGAGATGAGGAGGATGTTTACATCAGTTCAAATGCTAGTGAGATCCTTAGAGAGCCTTTGTTTGCATGATTTGAACCTTGGCTTTTAAATAGAGCAGGTGCTCATCAGTCTTTTATCTGATTATTGAGAGGTCTATCCCCAAGTGGTTTTTGCCCTGCTCCAGTCATCAGCTTCAAATGAAGCAGCTGTTCAAAAGATAGCAAGACATCCTGTTCTCTAAGGGGAACAGAATGTATATAGAGACTTAAATGTAGAGACTTGGATAAAAAAAATACAGCATAAAAAGTGATGCAAGTATGTATCACCTCATATCAAGAAGGTATTTGAGTAGATAAGGATATGGCTGTACCTAAAAAAAAAGTCTGAGCTAGCTGTGTGCAAAATATCTTTCAGTCCATTCTGGCTGATCTTAGATTTGATGCTCACGCTGAACTGTTGTAAAATTAAATTCATTCTAGAAGTGTGTTATGAATTTGTGAAGAATAAATTCATTAGAACAGCTTTAAAGTGTTTGAGTGATATAAAGAAATTCATAACTGATAATCACTCTCTCAATACGCTGTGGTGCCTAGTGTTATAACAGCAAAGGGATACAAAGTACTTCTAAAAATTTTCAGAGAATGAATTTACTTTTAAAAAAATCATTCATAGACAGGTTCATTATTTTATATGTTACATTCTGAAATGTGTCTGATACAGAAAGTAGCAGCACTGACAAAGGTAGGTTAGTAAAAACTAGGTTTTATTTAAGTAAAAACTGAAGTTCTGTTTAAGTCGAAGTGTTTGAATCATTCCATTTTTGTCAGGAACAAGCAAGACAGGTTGCTAGTATAAGTTCTTAGCTTTTATGTAATTGTCTCTTGCATGATCTTTTGCTTGTCTGTCCTAAGATTCGTTAATGGATCCTTAATAAAAATTCATTTTAATGGTGATATTGCAAGGAGATATTTAATGTTTACCTTAATTTCACTTCTTAAGCTGAGAGTGGATCCATCTGATTGTTAAAAGCTGCGCATAGTCTACTATATGTGTACATGTTTCTGCTTGTCCTTGTCAGACTATATTTTGGACCTTTATTTTTGTAGAAAAGTAAAAAATGTGATGAATGAAGACCTCAGATGTAAATAAAAGATAATAAGTAACCTCTCTTTGTGTTTCATTGTCTTTAATTAAATCAGAAAACAAGGCAGAAAAAGGAAAGGTAGAAATGGGGAAAATGCAAAAGTCTGTATGTTTTCAATAAGGCAAACTGCTCTTCAGACAGCCTTTAGTGAAGACCTCAAAGTTTCTTTAGTTAGTGAAAACTAAAAAAATTTCAATGTTAAAATAGTTGCAAAATTAGATGTTTGGACTCTGAAACTTTTTACACTGATTTTTAGTTTTATAGTCCAGCATGCCCATCAATGAGTGCTATGCACTTCAGCACTTGGAGTAGGCCTGACTCTACTATAGGGCTTGAGTTGCTATGTAGATGAAAAAGATTTTCTTACTTTTTTTCATGTAGCTAGCACAAGAGGGTAAAAACATAAGTATTTTGAAAAAAAAGTTGGAGGGTCTTAAGAGAAAACATGACAAAAAGGGAAGACTTTGGAAGAAGCTAGAGAAGACCAGAGAGACAATCAGGATGCATCAAGACCCAAAAAGAGATAAATAGAATATTTGTCTTGTCCTTCTGGTGTCTTAATGTAGTCCTTGAAAAATGATTGCACCAGTAGTGTTCATCCTTGCACACAAAATAATTTAAGGGAGCAAGCCTCCAGGGGCATGTTGAGAAAGGAATCTGTCATCTATAGTTTTATGTTGGCATTCATTATTGTTATCTGGCATTATATCTGTGTATGTTTATTTATTGCTTAGGGTAGCAATGACTAATTGCTGTGGACATATTCCATAAAAACTGGAGTTCTCTTATCTTTTGTCCAAATATTGGACAAGCTTTTTGTTTGGTTGATTGGTCAGTTTTGGTTTATTTTATTTTGCTATTTAGTTAGCTATTTTGGTTTATTTTTTGTTGCTATTTAGTACTTTTTGCAACCTGGAAATAAAACCAGCTGTTTCACATTACTATTAAAAACATCTAAATGCATGCTATATAAGATCAGAGTATGTTTGTAAGTAGAGTATTAGTCTCCACTACAGTGGTGAGAGTATTTATAGACTTCAAGGTCTCAAGAGAAAACTGGTGTTTCAACGGGTGACCAAATTGTATGCTTTGTGGTCTTTACAGGTCAACATACAGAGCTGCGAAATCCCAAGCTGACATAATGAACAACCAAGAGGCTGGTGCTCTCTGTTGCTGGAGATGTAGAAAATATATAGCAAATTCTGTTTTTCTTGCAAAATGTAGTGGGAAAAAAACACCCAAAGTAAGTACAGCTTCTTCTGAGGGAGTTTGTAAGTTCTTCTGGTGCCATTTATTTTAAATGAAGGAGAAGTATTAGACTTAGCCTCACTTTGTAATTAATCTCTTGTATGTAGTAAAGAAGAGACAGTTCTGTAGAGAGTAGTGGAGGAAGTAATTTTAGTGAAGCCAAGTAGGCAGTGATCACCTTCATGTTCTGCCATATGCAGGCTGGTGCTCATGGACACTTGGCTACTAGCTTGTATAAAGCACTACCATTTCTAATATGAAAATGGGGTTTGGTTTTGATGGTTTTAAAGCAGTCTTGTTTTCGTTTTAAATCTCTTAATGGACAACTCTTTGTGTATAAGGTATATTTTAAAGACTGGCTCTAATTTCCACTGTGGTAGTTAATTGTGTGTAAAATATCCCTACATCAGAAAATTTTCCTCTTCATTTTTTAAATACGGGCCATAGTCTGTGCACAAAAATAGCTCAGAAGATTAGTCTGCCCTGAGCAGGGTTATACCCTGCTCAGTAATTTATATTGTTTTTATTAAAATAAACAGAAGGATAATTACACTAAATTAAATAAAATACACTACATTAAATAAAACCATGACAAAATATTTTCTACTGTTTTATAATGGCAGCTACTAATCATAAAGAGCTAGGGTCTTTCCAAATTGAATCAAAGTTAAAAAGCAAATAGAAGAGAAGGTGGTGATTTTTTTTATTAATGTGTTAGTAATGAAATAACATTCTTATGCACACTAGAGAGGGGTACAGCCAATAGATGTAGAAACAAAGTTAGTTTTCCAGATTATGATAGTATTATCAATAAACCCCATTTTAATCACTCTGCTTACAGAGCTTGAAGTTTTAGAATAATTTTCTCACTTTATATTTGATGGTTCTTTTATGCATGGTTTGAAGTGATTTTTAGGGGGGGGGGATGTGGAAATTCCAACCCCTTCCATGGAAAAAAAATGTAGTGAAAATAAAAAGCTATCTTTGTCCAAGTTCCCTATGGTGGAGCTTTTAGTTGTGAGTGGAGATCCACCCATCATTGCACATGGCTGAGGTAGTTTCTCCTCCATTTATGTAGATAGCAAATAAAAAAGTGTAATTTAACGCTGTATCTAAAGAGGTTGGGAGGGAAAGACAGTACTAGGATGAGAAGACTAATGTTTTCATCTGCATAAGCATGTTTTCACAGATCATTTTTAGACCTTCACACAAAGACATAACTGAATAATGAATGAAAAAAAATGCGGAACAAATTTTAAAACAAATGTTGAAGTTAAGAACACGGTCTAAGCACTAATAGTTAAATGCATATTGAAGTGCAGATGATCTTCACAGATAGGACAAAAAGCCAGCATAGACATGATAAATCGATCTGTCTTCTGTCAATACTTGGAAAATTTTTAAAAGCTTCTATCTTCTGTCTGTAGCCCCACTTCTAATTTTCAGCAGAATCATATTTTTATTTCAATGACTTTAATAACATGGGCATTGACAACTTTCCTTATTCATAAATTTTAACAACTGATTTTAGGACTTTCTCACCAGTTTCCTTATAATTTTAGCCATCCCTGTAACACTTATTTAGTTAGGCAATTGTTTTTATTTTAGTATCAATTAGTGAAATGCTACAGGATTTTAGATTTCTTTTCTCTTCACTTGATCACGTTATTCCTGTAAAAACTCTAAAGTTGATAAGATTACCTGGTTACTCTGCTAGTTATTCTAAAAAAAATTAGAAAATTAATTCTACTCATTGCATTTGTGTGTTGCTGATCGCAGTCTTTATGTAAATTATAACTTATATTTTTCTGTCTTTACTGAAAAATTATGCAGGCTCACAGTGATTCTAAAATCAATTTCCAGATATTCTTGGAAGGCCTGCAACAGCATACTTTCTGTTCTTTTAAACAAAACAAAACCACCTCCAGATGCCTACATTTCCATAGGAGTTGCCCAATATTTTTAGATTCAGAAATAGAGAATTACTGACAATATCTATCTGATTTTTAGCTTAAAGAAGCACATCATATTTGAGATTTTTTATTTGTTAATGTTTACTGGTTTTGGGGAACTATCTTCTGGCTATATTCAAAGAATAAAAAGCTTACATAAATTTTGAGTAACAGTACAATTGTTTTATTAACAGATATCACAACCTTCAGCTGCTGCTCAGAATTCTTGCAATGTATGGCATGTGAGCTTAGAAGCCATTCCAGAGTGGGTGAAATGTGTGATTGAAAAGGTAGTAGATTTTTTTTTTCCTTGCATCTTCATTATTCAGCATGTAAAATAGTTAAGGGGGACAAATTTCAACGACACTATTCTGGCAAGGTCCATGTATGTTACAGAAACCTTGTAACTGAGGGAATTCTTCTCAGGAACTTCTATCGTTACCATTTACCATTACCGTTTTTTTCCTCTCTTAAATGCTGTTTAATTTTTGTTTTGCTTTTTAATATATGCAGAAGTGCTACAAGTGATAAATTCTGTTTCCTACTCTTTAACAGATGAATGTGTTTATGGCTGTCCAAATAACTGTCATGGGCATCTCTGCATGTTTGTCAATGTTTAATATTGTATTTGTTACCCGGGCTTTGGGGTTTTCTTTGTTTTGAGCATCATATCTTGCAGTACTGACATATAGGTTGACAGGGACAACAGGAAGCATGTTTCCCCATAAAAGTGGACTCCAGATTTGTTAAGAGATCAGTTTTTGGAATATGATGTGTTTTATACTTAAGTCTTTTATACTTAATATGCTCTTATGTCATATGAACATAAAGTAGATACTTTTCTGCCAATTCAAAGGTCTGATGACAAGCCAGTGACTGCTTTTGAGTTTTAACTGCCCATTTGTAAATTACAAATCATCTCATAAATTTCCTGTTGTACTGACTGCTTCAGTTGGTATTTCCTCTAAGTTGTTGTAGATCTAGAAGTTAATGTTGTGACATAGATATCAATAAGCAGAAGCAGTGGGGTTTTTTGCCTCACTGATTTTCTTTTATGAATCTCTGATTTTGATAAGTAAATTTTACTTGCATTCCTTAGACTTCTCCTTAGACTTCAGTGTAAAATTTTGCTGTATTTTAAGCAATTTCTGCCCTAAGCAAACCTATACTGAAAATAATGCTCAAAGAGAAAAAAAATTGTTATGACTAGAACTAAGCATACAGAAATTTAGAAAACCTTCATCTTCCTTCTTTGTATTCCTCTATGTGGGATTTTTCTGTTAAACATTAATTAAACTTTTAAATTAGTGATCTACTCTACTTCAATGAATTAAACATTGTTATGTTATAATAGTTATGTTCAGAATACTTATGTTAGAACAGTTATGTTCAGAAACACTAATCTTAAAGGTGTGTTTGAAAATTAAGGTTCATGAGTTGAGTTATAGTATGAGTCACTTTAGAATATCGCCTAACCATGAATCTTTAGTAATAAGAAGGCAGTTTTTTAGAGGTTTTTTTGCCTCTTAAATTATTTCAGTATAATTGAATTCAATAATCATAGTAGTATTATTCTTTTCACTTTTAGCTTTTAAATTATTATTTTGCATCTTTAGCTTTTGCATTTGAAAACCTGGAGGGTCAAACTGGGGACCGATGGAATACAAAACCCATTGAATGCTTGACACATTTGCTTAAGGATGCAGAGGAGCAATTCTCCTCCGGTGAAAAAGGCAGACAATGCAATTCTCTGTGTACACCTTTGACACCTTTGTCATCTTTGTGTCACTTAATATCCTTGGAATATCCATTGTTCATGGTGTCACTTAATATCCTTGGAACTCTTGCCTCATTCACTTTGTCTCCTCTGGCAAGATCCTGTGTTTTTATGGGTAAGTGAGGGGGTTGCAGGGTGTTAAACAATTCTGACTTACCTCCAGATCCTCCTGAGCTCTGAATAATTTTGTGATCATGTGTTATTTTCTCCTGTATGACTCCTGAATCAAAGGCTAAATCATTCTGCATAAGCGCAAAGTCTATTTGCAGGCTGTAAAAACCCACTGCTTCCCAGCCGGTTCTTTTTTGCCATCTGTCCCTGTTCTTAACCAATCTCCTTGGATTTCATGTACATATTAGTATAGTTAATCTTCAATAATTATAAATACGTAGCTAGTGCTGCTAGTGACCTTTATTGACCTGGATTTTCTGTTACCCATCACTTATTTCTTGTTTTGGTTTCTTTTTCTTACCATTTCCATTTTTCCCTCTTTATGCAGTCCATCACTAAATCTATGTACCCTCAGCTCCCTTTCAGATCTTGCTGATTTTCCCCCTACCACCTCCTCCACTAGTAGGCTGTTACTTCTTTTACTGAGTCAGTGCTTCCACACTCCATTGCCAAACTCATGCTAAATCAGTCCCAGGCTCCTTGGTACTACACCTCATCTCCCAGTCTCTGTGCACATGGGGCATGGAGGTGTCCTTTTTCCTCCTATGTCTTGCATGTCCATTTTTTCCAGGCTTCTGGCCTTCTGTGAATCACTCCGCCTCTCCATTTGAAGATTGGATGCTATTCCATCCCAGAGAGACCCAATAAAGTCACGAGAAAGTGCTTTTCCCTTAATTTTAGTGTCTAGCCTCTGCCATCTGGGAAATGGACTGTGGGAGACTTAAGAGTAAATCTCTGAAGAAGCTTAACTCTTCTTTGGGAGTGGCCTGTGTACACATTGGTCAGTCTTAGTAAACTGAGAGCGATTGAGCATGTTTACAGAATTCTCGAGAATTTGAAAACCTGTGATTATGTGTAAACTATTTTTTTTGAAAATAACTTTTTCCACACAAGTTGTTGGAGTTTTTTTCTGAAACTGCTAAATTGGTCTTTCTGACATTTTCTGTACTTTTCAATGGGACAAGCATCAGTTATGGACATAGCTGTCCAAATCACCTTGAAGGGCATTTGCAACTGAAAGCAATGCTTAAACTAGAAATGTTGTGTCCCTTCTGTATTCATAATTCTTCAGACACATAGTTCTTCAGTTAAGTGTGACTGGAGTTGATAATGTCATTTCTTATCTGGGCTTTGATCCTACAAACACTTGAATAACTTTAGTCCTCAACAGTACTGCTGACAAATGAATATAATTGCTGAAAATACTAATAGTTGTCTAAATATATAGGAGGACTAATAGTTGTATTAATATGTAGGCATTTATAGATCTTTGATATGTATTTCCTTTTGAAAAAGTGCCTTCAGTGTTGAAAAGAATTCAGAGAATTATAAATAATGAAAATAACTGTCTCCCTATATATAGAGTATTAAGGATTTGTCATGGTTTCTGCACAGAGATTATGTTGTAATGCTACATACACCAAAATACAAATACCATTTTAAGCTTTTGTGGGGTAATCAAAGTAAAAAGCTATATTCTTTTCATAAGAAATCTTCTTCTACCATACTTAGTATGCAAGAAATGTATCAGTGCTCAGAACATTCAGCTGAGAAGCTGTCCTTGCCAGTTCCAGATTAACTTGGGAAATTGATTTCACTATTTTAAAGATCTAATGTTTTTATTAGTATTGCAGCATTATTCTATCTGTGGACAAATTTTAAACATATTTCAAAGCTCGTACATTTTACAATGTGTGTTTTAGTTTTCTTAGAATTTGTTATCCCTGCAGCAAGCCAAGCTTTGACCAGAACATTATTTATGGTGAATTTGCTTTCTGCTGTGTAGTATCTTTTATTCTATTTGAAAAAACAAGAAGAAAATCCTCTTACTAAAGGAGAAAATAACTTCAGTAATTATTTCTTGCACATTTATTTTCAGTGAACATGTTGTGTGTTTTATTTTTTTCTCTTTTTGTCAATAGGCTCAGTGGACAATTGGAAAACTGCACTGTCCATTCTGTGAGGCCTGCTTAGGGGGCTTTAATTTTGTTTGCAACAAAGAATGTTCCTGTGGACGGTTAGTAAATATACATTTCTTCAAAATTGGGACTGAGGATCTGCCACCTTTCTCTGTTAAATTGTCAAAATCATCAGAGAAACATTTGCTTCTCAAAATTCAGTCTGGTTTTAACAAGGATACTTGCCATGAAGTGGTAACTGCAACTTTGGAAATCATAAATCAAGGGCTTTCATACACAGCTGGAAGTAATAATGGTGCTGGAAGATTAACAGAAGCACTTTGTCTAGAAGTAAGAGCTCCCAGATATGAGGTAGAAAGTAAAAAACTTCCCTTAAAGACATTAAATCAAAAAAGAAATCTCCCTTCTTCCTATCCTATAAAAGATGCATGCACTGTAAAACCTTTTCACAGATCATGTAGCTTGGACTTAAATATTAGAGAAAGACTTGTTTTGTCACCTGTGTTATATGAAACTTGCGGCATGGGACAACTTTACCACAGCCAAAGTGAAAATTCACCTGCTTTTGTACAAGGGAGCTTGCAATTAGAGGCCAGTAGAAAAGATGGTAGTTCTTTTCAGGATCTGTATAGTTCCAGGGCTGAGATACTACAAAACCAATTTCAAGTTACTTCTGTTACCACATTACTACACAGAGACACTGAAAGTGAGTGTGATTTTGAAGTTACTGGACAATCTTCTGGTAGTGTCATTGCTGATGGGTCACCATTTGTGATGAATCTTTCCTCGCCTACAAGGGCTGTAGAAGACAAACAATACATCACACCTGGTGGTCTTGTGCAGCCTACGAGTACCTCCTTCAACCAAAAGCTGAGTAAGAGAGAAAGAAACAAGTCAAAAAGCCTGAGGAGAAAACAAAGAAGGCGAGAACAATGTCTACAGAAGCAGGTAAGTGTTTAAAATTAATTATGCTACTTTTTTGGTATAATTTGACTTGCTTTTAGAAATAATTCTGATTTTTTTTTTTAATGTTGTCTTTTAATATTGGCTTAATGTGGAACTGTCTACAGTTCCTACCTGACCTGCAGTCAGGTATCAGGCAAGCAAAGATGTATGAAGCCTTCCTACATGTAGTTTTTTTCTAATTCCATCATATCAGGTTTTCTTTCTGTGCAAAATCAAAACATGATGGGTTTTCACTGGCCTTCTTATTGTTTTTTAATGTAATAGTAATTTGAAGTGGGAATAAACACAATGAAATTTAATCTGTGGGATTAAAGAAAAACTAAAAATTTGAATCTTCTAAATGAGGAACCCTACCATGTCAGAATTTTCTAACTAAATTAATGGCATTTTGAGTTAACTTTATAGTTAAGTATGTTTTAAATGCCTTTATTATTTCTTGTAAGAGATTATTATTACTATAAGAAAATATTTTTCTATTAGTAAAGAGTTGATTACTGTTATTTAAAATATTAGTCCTTAATGGGTAAATTTTTTTGCCTGCAAATCTTATCAAACTGTTACATTCTTATCAATTGTACAGTAATAGTTTCCTTCTTTAAGGCATGTAAAGCAGAATAGAATTAAAGGCAGTAGGCAGTCACAGTTTTTGGTGGAAGACTGGGAAGGAAAGCCAGTCTTGAAATGACTAACACAGTTTTGGTTTGCTCTCAAATTTAGTAGAATGACTAATAATAAACATGCCTTTAAAAGAAAATTTCTCATCATAAATTTCCTGCAAAAAAAACCTGTGTAGTAAGCAAGAGCAAACTTACTAAATAATCAGAGAAGAAGTATCTACTCAAGCAATTACTCCTCCTTTGAGTAGATTTGTCATTCTGCATTCAAAACTTAGGAAAGATACTCGGAGGGTGTCTCTCTCAATTATACATGAGAACCAACCTGAAAATGTAATGGGTCTGGGAAACATTATGAGTCTTTGCAGTATGGTGTGCATATATTCCTTCTTCTTTAAGAAGGCTTTTTGTTTTGCTTTAAGACTTAAACTGCTATTGAGACCTTTTGAAACCTTGTTCTTGTAAAATGCATCTATGAAGCTGAGAATGTTGATGTCTTAATATTGAATACTTGTTTTCTAATAAGACTATAAAGATTCTTAGCTGTCCAGATCCTTAAAATGGCTTTAAAAATTCCAGATCTCATTGTTTTGGTAAATGAAATGATGATGCACAAGTACAATGTGTATTTTTCATTTTCATCATGTCACCTACAGTGTCTCCAGACACTTTAATCTTGAGATGTTACTTTCAAGAATAAGACATTGTACAGATTTTCTGAATTTTTGATAGCTAAGGAAGAAAGATACTTTGAGAATTTTTCTTGTTAAGACATGCTTAACCTATTCCAACATTATTTTAATTACATTTGTTAAGATCTGATTATTGGAGAGATGCGTCTAGTCAAATTAAGGTGCAAACGAGACCATATGCTGAAGGCAATAGCATGAACTTCATCTAACAGTAAATGGGAGGTAGAGAGAGATAGAAAGAAATAGAGAGGAGGGGAGTGAAAAGAGTGAGACAGACAGATTAAGTAAAAAGGTGGTTCCAGACATCATCCCAATGGTCCTCTTCTGGTCTTCTCAGTAGTGGGAGTCCAAGGTCACTCAAAACTTCTCCCCATTTGTACATTTTAGCAAACAAAGGAATCAATGCTCATTGCATACAGAGTTCTCCCATTCTGTTGGTTAAATGATCTGCTTGTTTCCAACGCTGAGTGGTGCCATGCTCAGTTTTCCTCTTCTTTTGAGTCAGTGGGCCACAGCCTCTTCCTTCTGAGCTGAACCCAGCCAGAGCTGACTGTCAGCACAGTTACTGAGCTGGCTTTTCTCATACTACCCTGTGGCTCAAACACTGGGTTCCAGGGACTTTTCCTCAGTTCATGGGTTGTCCATGGGGGTGACAGAGATAGAGGGCCCTACAAGAAAATACAGAAAGAGCAGAAGCAATAACACGAGTAATCACAACCATGTACAATAGCTGTGCAAATCATTAAAAATACAAATCCAATTCCACTTATTAACCCAATCCTGATTAGGCACTGCCCCTACCAGTGATACACAAGGATCTGAGTGTTGTTTAATTGGTAGTGGATATGATGGATTCTGCAATACTGTGTCTGTTGCATGTAGGCCAACATTAGCCATAGAATTACAGAGAGGGTCTTGATTTTTAAATCCGATAGGCCAGTATCCCCAACAGATACATACATTATGTATTAAGATAGGTCAGTTGGCCTGCTCTGAAGTAGATTTTCAGGTCCCTTAGTACAGCTAATTACACAGTTGCACACTGGGAATAAGTGTGAATGGATTTGTTGAAAAGGTGTGCTTACATACTTCAAATTTTTTCAAATAAACACTTCAAAGTGTTGTCTTTCAACAATATCCACTGTAGTTGAAAGAATTTTATAGATAATGTTCCTGTCCAGCTGAGTAATTCTATAAACCATGGAAAATTAACTTCTAGATTAAAACTTTCTGATTTAGTTATATTATGCTAGATTGCTTCTTAATTGGGGGGGGGGTGTTGATTTTTGTTTGTTTGTTTGCTTGCTTGTTTGTTGTTTCAGGAGGTTGGTTGCTCGGTTGCTTGGTTACTTGGGGTTTTTTTGTTCGTTGGCTTTTGTTTGGTTGGGGGTTTTTTGGGTTTTTGTTTTCTTTAATTTTTATTTCAGGGTGCAAATGGCCCTTGTTGCTGCCAGAGTAAATTGCACCCATAACTGAGAAGCACATGTGGTGCAGAATGTACTAGAGTAACTATATTGATTAGCATAAATAAAATAAATTAGGTAAAGTTAAAATACTCTGTTAGGACACACAGTAAAAAGTCAGTGTATATCAGACACGTTCAACAGGGAATATAAGTCTCTGATTTGATTTGGAATATCTCATGCTTGATAACATATTTGGTTCCAAAACTGGTCACAAGTAAAGTTGCTTAAGATCTGGTAAACAGCCTTTTTCTATTTTACCCATACTCCTTTTTTGGTCCACGTCTGTCTGTCCTTCTGGTCTAAAAAGGAAATGTTCCATTTCTCATGGAACATTCGTTTTGTTCGGATTATTCAGCTCATGCATTAATATCTCTGTAAAATGTAGCCAAATCATCCTAAATCTTAAGCCTTTTGAGGCAGAAATGGTTAATACATATTTGTATGATTCCAAATATGCATAAATTCTTATGCCAACTCCCAGGCTAATTTTGATTTAGACAAAATTATACATTTATGAGACAAAAGTAAAAGCTCTTCCCACACCATTTTTTTCCAGTAAAAGACAAAATAAGCTTGGCAAAAAAATCAAACTAACAACACATAAAATGGTTTGGCTAATACGTGGTCTCCCAACAGGTTCACTCGCAATGAAAACACAAACAAATCACAAACATTAATAAGTTGATACTACAAGCAATTATGGTGGCAATTAAAAGTTTCATTGGTTTCATGCAGCTTGGTCTCATATGTTGGCTGGTTCCCATAACAAGAAAAGTGAAAATTCAGCCGACTACAGACAGATTACTGGGAGGATGAAAAATCCATCCAGTGTTGATTCAGAGGTCCTGTGTCTACCAGGGAGGATAAAGGCCCTAAAGGAAAAGTCGTTATTGTATCTTAGCTGACTTCTGCAAACTTTCTCATGTAAATCCACTGATTCACCCAATCTGAGCTGGTTCTTTTGATCTTCAGTTTTGGCAGGGAATGCCAGCACTCCTAGAAAAAGAAAGCAACACAAACTTCCTGGCAGATTACCCCTTAGAGTTTTAACTTCTGTTTCATGAAGTGTTTGGTGCACTCCTCTTGTTGTTTCCTTCATCTTTTCATGGGGCATTCCTCTAATTTATTTCACATCTGGAGGAAATAAGACTGCTTGCAAAACTTTGAGAAGTGTTGAATTTGTGAATTAGGGAGTACTTAAATGGCTTAACCCAGATTTCTTTTAGGGTTAAGATTAGCAGACTTCAGTTTCTCATCCAGGAACCATGAATTAACCTTATCAGTTTGGCAGATAACACTGGCTCAGTTCACTCCAGTGATTTTACCTCTTTGCCATCCTGAAAGTATACCCAGATTTTCAGTATCCTAATGAATTAGTATTAATGGATTTCAGTCTTGCCTGATTTATGACCAGGCTTTGATATCTTAGTAGATACATAAGGCACCATTTCAGTAGCTGTTTGCTGATCCTGGCAGTCATTTGGGGTTTCAATTTTAAGTATCAACATGCTACTGCCTTGTCATCAGATGTCAGTGTTAACCTTAATGTTACATTTTGCTCTTTTGCAGAACCACAGACTCATGCACTGTCTCCCAACTCCTCCACTGAACAAAATAATGTCAAGTTACAAGATCATGTTTTAGAGTATGTTAGAGGTTCTGCATCCTGCAGTTATTCCCCTAAGATTCTCCCTCTTTCTCATTCATATTCCAAAAGTTCTGCCTGAAGCATTTGGGCATCACCATGCTTGACAGCTAGCAATTCCTCTACTTGCATTCTTTTTTCATTTTCCTTATTTGACTGAAAGTGCTATTCTTTCACTAAATCTCATAAGGATACCATTATTTCATCTTCATATTTTTGAATAACCAATAGCTCATTATGAGGAACCAATAGCTTAATTTTCTTGTGTAAACCCACCTGACAGTTAGGAGGGAAACTAACAAATTTTTCAAGGAAGGATAAAAAAAATACTTTTTTTTGCACTGACTACCCTGGAGAGCCATTTTTTCAAAAGTTCCCACAGGAGAACACATATAACCTTCCTCAGAGGAAAGCTGTGGCAAAGTTTCCAGGTGTTCCCAGGGAAGGAACCACACAACCCCCCCCCCCCCCTCCCCCACAGGGAACTGTACTATTGTCAAAGACAATTCAGATCACAGTATCCTGCCAACTATGACAAAATAATGTTAAGATCCCATTATTTGAG